GTCTCCTTTTCATCTGTTATAACCAAATATCAAAACTGAAGGACTCTCCCTTAAAAACCTGAGAAAAGCTTCTGAAACTAGTGGCAACACATGGAGACTAATCTGCTTTTCACCTTCATCTTTTTGTTTGGTTGCCCGGTTTGCTTTTACTAAACACCTCTGTTTAGCTTATATATTTCATTAACTTGAAGAAAAAGATGCCTTAGTTTTACTTCTTTGGAAACTGGAATTACAGAATAACAAATGAAACTAAAACAACATAAAAGAACTCAACTTTGTTAACATTTATATTAATTCAAATTTACCAGCATCTGAAAATATTTCTGCACCTATACAATAACATCTTCTGAACAAACACTTGATAACACGTTGTGCTTGATGAATACATATACAAGCATACCAAATAAGAATTCACGGAATCTTGATTTTGAAATATACTTCCCTAAAGAATATGCCATAACTGGATATATGGTCTAATCTAATTAAATCCACTACTCTGTCTCTCAGTGTCATTCAGAAGCAGCTATTGCAAAGGATTCTTGAAGTACCTAGACTGGACTCACATATGGAACAACTAACTCCAATGAATGGTTTTTCTAACAGGTGGAGCCTAGTGGCAGAATTATGCTATTTCTAAAATAAGTTTAAATGGTTAATTTAACTTACCAACTGTAGGTGTGTTTGCTGCACTGAGGGAAGCAGATGAGGATATTGAGGAAATGCTCTCTGCACGCGCCAAGGGAGCTGCAGGAGGTGGACTTGAGTTAGAGGTCAATGGAGGGCTGAATGGCCTAGGCTGAACAAAACAGTTAACAAGAGCATTACAGGAAGTGGTTTTAAGGAGATGAAAAAAAGACTGTAAATAGAAGAGTTCTTCATTTCATGCCCAAATCAATTTCCTAGTGTTTCTCAATATAGTTTCCTTGATGCTTTATCTACCCTAGTTTTTACGTGTAAAACAGAGAACCCTCATTTTCCATTAGAAGCAATTCCACTATTTCATAGATTATCATTACTAATTTTTTGCCTGGGTAGTTAAGTCTAACATATTTAATTATGTAGCAGCCTGTCAATAATTGTGCTTGTGCTGGTTTTGGCTGGGGTAGAGTTAGTTTTCTTCATGGTAGCTGGTATGGGGCTGTGTTTTGGATTTGTGCCAGAAACAGCATTGGTAACACAAGGATGTTTTCACTATTGCGGAGCAGTGCTTGCACAGAGTCCAGGCCTTTTCTGCTTCACACCCCACCCCACCAGTGAGGAGGCTGGGGGTGAATAAGCAGTTGGGAGGCGACACAGTGGGACAGCTAACCCCAGCTGACCACAGGCATATTCCATACCACAAGACATCATGCTCAGCCTATAAATCTGGGGGAAGAAGGAAAGAGGGACATTTGGAGCGATGGTGTTTGTCTTCCCAAGTAACCGTTACATGTGAAGTAGCCCTCCTGTCCTGGAGATGGCTGAACACCTGCCTGCCAATGGGAAGTGGTGAATGAATTCCTTGTTTTGCTCTGCTTGCAAAGCTTTTGCTTTACCTATTAAACTGTCTTCATCTCAACCCAAGAGTCTTCTTTTTTTCTCTTTCACTTTTACTTTTACTCTTCTGATTCTCTCCCCCATCCCACTGGGAGGGAGTGAGCAAGCAGCTCTGTGGAGCTTAGTTGCCTGACAGGGTTAAACCACAACAGTGCTGTAAACACAGCACCAGAACCTAACCTTACAGCCCTACGAATATGTACAGCAAATGTGAATATACAGAGCTAAACGAGAGCTACTAACAAACTAGAAGTGAGTCCAGCACAGGGTAACTGAAATAGTTGGGACTGGAGTACCTGAGAGAGACACACAGGCTGAAGAACCTGGAGAACAGAAGCCTAAGGAGAGATCTCTAGCAGTCTTTTACTAGCTAAAAGGGGGTTCAAAGAAGGCGAATTCAGGCTCTTTTCAGAGACGCAAGAGCTACATCAAAGGAAATCTCAGCTGAACTTAGGGGAAAAATTCCTTCTTGAAACCTCATGGTTAAACCCTGGGAGAGGTTGCCCAATGAGACTGTAAGACATGCCTCTCCGGAGATCTTCAAAACTCAGCACGTTCCTGAGCAACCGGATGCAATTTTGAAGTCGGCCCTTCTTTAAGCAGGTGGTTGGCCTAGAGATCTTCAAAAGCCCCTTCCGTCCTAAATCTCCGGATGGTTTTATGATTCACTTAACTGTCGGTATTAACTAACTAATGATCATTTTAGGATCAAGCTATCTAAAAGGTACTGGAACCCCTGAAGCATCTTTTTTGGTAGGTAACTGCTTTTTTTTAAAAAAATTTTGCTTCTATCACACTTGTTGCTGGGTATAGCTTTTCTATAGACTATAGGAATTGTAAAAGGATATGTAATAAAGACAACTGACAATCTTACACTTTTATCCAGATAATAGCCAATTTCTAAAACAACAGTATAAAATGAATGCAGTTTTGTGCAGAATCATACTTTATAGCAGAGCAGTACAGCTAAATTCTTCTCTTTATTTATGATAACATGAAGAACAGATTCCTTGGTCTATGAGCAATTACTACAGTTTTATATTGGAATGAGAAAAGAATCTCAAAATTAACCCTATTCTGACATTGCAGAAATGCAAACCAGTTTAAAAACGTTTCAGTTTTGTCAAAGCACAAGACCAGAACATGGTGAAAATCACAGAATCATGGAATATGAGGTTGGAAAGAACCTCAAGGATCATCTAGTCCAACTTTTCAAGGTAAAAATACAGCTTAAATGATATAGCTCAGCACTGTCAAGCTGAGTCATAGAACTGTCCAATGTTTTGGACACCACTTCCCTTGGGAGATTATTCCTATGTCTAATTGTCCTCATAGTGAAAAAGTTTCTTTTGGAGTCCAACTAGAATATCCCCAGGAGTAATTTGTATCCATTACCCCTTGTCTTCTCCATGCTACCCCTCGTAAAAAGGGAGTCTCCATCTTCTTGATAGCCACCATTTATGGTACACGGTACTAAGGTCTCCTCTAAGCCTTCTCTTCTCAAGGCTGAACAAACCCAGTTTTCTCAGCCTTTCTTCATATGGCATATCTTCTAGTCCTCTGATCTTTGTGGCCCTTCTCTGGACCCTTTCCATCTTGTCCACAACTTTTTGTATAGCGAGGACCAAAACCGAACGCAGTACTCCAGGTGTGGTCTGACCAAGGCTGAGTAGAGTGGGATAATGACTTCTTTATCTCTGCTGGTGACACCCTTGTCGATGCAATCCAGAATCCTGACGGTTTCTTTGCTGCTGCAGCACACTGTTCACTCACGTTGAGCTTGTCGTCCCCCCAGGTCCCTTTCCACAGGGCAGCTCTCCAGCCAGGTGAATCCCAGTCTGAGCTGCATTCCTGGGTTACGTAGGCCCCATTGAACTTCATAAGGCTCCTGCTAGCCCACTCCTCCAGCCTGTCCAGGTCTTCCCAGAGGGTGTGTCTCCCTTCTGGAGTGTCAACTACCTCTCATTTTGGTGTCACCTGCAAACTTCATCTAGGTGCTCTTGATCCCAACACCTAAATCACTTATGAAGATACTAAACAGCACTGGGGCAATATATTGATCCCTGGGGGACCCCACTTGTGACTGGTTGCCAGTTTGAGAACTATTTACTACCACCCTCTGGGTATGGTCTGTCAGCCAGTTCCCCACCCACTGCACAGACCACTTGTCTAGGTCGTAACATGTCAGTTTTTCAAGGAGAAGGCTGTGTGGGATCGTGTCAAAAGCCTTGGAGAAGTCCAGGTAGACAATGTCCACTGCTCGCCCTGCACCAACCACACAGGTTACTTTGTTGTAGAAAGCAATCAGGTTTGTCAAGGACAATTTGCCCCTGGTGAATCCATGCTGGCTTTTCCCAAACACATGCTTCAGTTTACTTGTGATAGTCCCCAGGAGGATTTGCTCCATAACTTTCCCAGGGACTGACGTCAGGCTAATGGGTCTATAATTACCTGGGTCCTCCTTGGAACCCCTCTTGTAGATAGGGGTGACATTATCCTTCTTCCAGTCTTCAGGCATGTCTCCCCGTCTCTATGACTTCTCAAAGATTATGGAGAGCGGCCTCACAACAACATCAGCCAGCTCTCTTAATACCCTTGGGTGGATGGCATCCGGGCCCATTGATTTGTATGGGTCAAGCTCCTGTAACAGTCCACACACCAACTCTTCTTCCTTCGCTGACAGCGGGTCTGTGTCTGCACCAATCTCGATTTTTGTTCCCGTGGCCTGGGACCTAACAGCACTAGTAAAATATCTTGCTATTTCAAAAGACAGTAAGAGGATCTTACCACGGTAATATTTTTCCAAGTCAGTAAGTCAAATGAAACCCAAAGAATTCTAATATTCACAGAGAAGATTAAGCATGGTTTGGTCTGACATGCTGCCTGGGTACATGTATTCTTTGCCACATTCCTTACCAGCAGGTGGACGGGCACTGCAGGCAGTGAGCACAGATGCAGGCAGCATGCAACCTCTCACTATCCTGATGGGCAGCTCCTGCAATCTGCCACCTCCCTTCTCCACCAACCAGCACCAAGGGCAGGGAGAAGTCACAGCAGGGCAACTTGTGTCAACACATGACTGATAACGATCTACCTAATACCATTCATTCCCCAAAGCTTTGGTGATACGCCTAAATCAATGCATCTTTGTTAATAATTTTGCTAGTATTTCACATTTTGAAAACTTCAATCTCATACACATGCTATCTTCTCATTATCAAATTATTGATTTGTCCAATTAAAAACACTCAGCCGATGCAAAAATTATGCTTTTGACCTTTGTAGTTCTGTTAAGAATTATTTTATTACAGTAACATAGTTATCATGAAAACTTCCATGCCTATCTGGCAATGGTAAAAGTCTGCTTATGTGAAACTTTGAACATTGGCTGGAAAGTAACTCCACTGTAACACTGTAAATGAATGGAATATTTGAAATCAAATTACTATGGAGCATTAAAGAAACAATCAATACATACTATTTCATTAATCCCGCTAAGTTTCCCAGTAGACAGCTTTGGTCTTGAAGCAGGCCTTGGAGGGGGTACAATGGTGCCTACAGAAAGAGGAGTTGAGGGCCTTGCTGAAAGAAAGCAAATTTAAGGAAATGAATATTAGAAAAGTCACACTGAACAAAAATATGTACTCACTTGAACAGAATAACTGGAAGTTATGTTTCTATTAGAAGTTCCTATTTTACAAGCTCCATTTTGTGAGATTTACCACTAATCATAAATGCTTTCAAAATAGGGCCATGTGATACCCTGAAAAGTGACTCTAAAAATGGCATCCTGGGTTTTCTCATTGCTCTTAAATGATTTTATACTATTCATACTATTCTTGGAGGCTTGTGTGTAAAAACATGCTTTTATCTACGTTTCCTTTTGTGTATAATCTATATGGAATCAGAACATAGGACAGTCTTTCTTGCCACAAATGGAAAATTCAGTGGAAATTCATATTTGGTCCTGGTTGACAATGGCATAACTCTCTGTTTACATCAAATTTTGCCCACTGAAACCCCACTGACTTCAATAAGCATACACCAGTGTATCAGATAAATTCCTCTTTTGATTGTAAGAACACACTAAGTCCTTATTATCTCTTAGCTGAGCTATCAGAAGTAAAAAGCAGTTAAAAAAAATACTGCCTCCATGTCCTTCCACACTTAACAGAAGCAACTACCAGATGGTGGCAGCACTACAAAGATGCCACTTTTACAGTCACTTTTCTGAACAGAATGAATAAAATTTCAAAATATTTTAAAATAAATGTTAGATGCCATCCAAAATTAACATCCAGAATTAACATCCAGAATAGACTGAAATTCTAATACACGACTACGTCGTTGCAGCACATCCTATTATCTCCCTCAAATTATTCTGCATGGTTCTTTTTTAATTAATCAGTTAATGTTATTGAAAATGCAACTTCCAAGTATGAAATTTTCTCAGGCATTCAGCGTACTCTGCTGTTGTTTAAGTATGGGAGTTTCATTGCTGACCATATCCACTTTAAGAGCTGCAAACTTGAAAGTCCCCAGATAAATTAACTTCTAAAATATCAGTCTTTCCTATAAAATCCTTATTATGCCCCAAGACAACAGTGCATGCTAAACACTTGAGTAGTCTGCTGCAGTACCACAGGTATTCAGCGAGTCATGGTACATTTACCCAAATGTATTTTTCCTTTGTCCTCTTAGTATGTTGCATTACCACGGTATCATCCACGCTTCAAAATACTGGGTGTTAAAAAGGACAGTTTTAAATCCAATTTACTTAACTTTATTTAATCTGAAAATACCTCTATGAAGCCACTTAGGAATGGAATTGTTTTTGCAAATTCAGTCACTTAATCTTTGAGACCTCACTGCTACCTGACATCCCACAAAAATACATTCCTATTTGTAGAAAAGCAAAGCTCCGCATAGTTAAGAGAAAGCAATGCCTTTAATTGAATAATTTAATTTTTTTCTTCTTATTTCAAGTGGAATATTTACTTCATTGTCCTAATTTTCAAGGAAGTTGGTGCTAACAAACAGTTTAGTACACTCTAAGTAAGAAGATGAGTTAATTTTAACATCAGGTGAGCGATAATAAAAAAAATTAGTCTAAGGCTTGCTTTTTTGAGTCAGTTATTAGCAAAGAGCAGTACATGATGCATGCTTGCCATACCCTTATTTGTAAAAGCACAAGAAGACACTAAACTATAGTCCAGTAGTGCTGAAGATGATGTGGAAGAAATTTCAGCAGCAGTGCCAGTTTCTTCAATGAATAATTGTTCATGGCATATAGTATTATTGAAAAGGTCACTTTGATCCTCAGAAGCACAGCTGTTGGAAGAATTCCCAAGCAAAGCAGAAGAAGCAAGGCAGGCATTTTCAGTTTTAAAATGCAATTTTTGGGGCTCCTTCTTGTCTGTGCTTGTGTCTCTAATTGTAAGAAGTTCATCAGCAAAGGAAATCCACTCACTTTGAGACCGTGAAACATAGGATAAGGTACTGGTAGTCCCTGATGGTGCTGCTGTAACACCAGATTTGCACAAAGTGCTAATGGTAAAGTCTGGTGAAGATGGGCTTGTAGACCCAGAATCTGTCTGGTGTCCAAGCAAGGACTGAGATACTCTGCACCCAGGCAAATCAGTGGTAGATGAGGAGGAGCTCCTATTATGCTCTTTTACTGTAGCTGAAGGAAAAGGGAAGAATTGAAACTACAAGCAACACTGAAAAGATAAAAATTTCAATATTCAAAAAAGTATTCAATATCCACTGCATGAGGCTTACTAGCCAGCAAGAAAAAGAACTGCTCTGCTAGGCTAAAATCCCAACGCTTACAAATAAAAGGAAAAAAACTCAGCCACATATCACATGCACTTTGTTCATACTGCCAACCACGTCACTTTCCACTTTTTTAGTAAGCCAAAAAGTAATTTATTGTATTTCTTTCCACTTAAGGCCCTACTTCTTGTGACTTTCCTTATTCCTCTAACTTCCTCCCTGTTGTGGTTTAACTTCCTCTCATCTTTGTCTTTCCCTTCTTGTGTCCAACACCATTTTCGTCTCCTCTCCACAGCTTTCTGCTTTTCATTTCTTCTGAAGTTATTTCATCAAACTTATCCTATCCTGTTCCTTCCAAACATTTTTATCCTCTTACCCTTAACATTTGTAATGGCAAGGCCCAACTAAATGGCTATCCAGTGAACAAAGACAACGCAGTCATGAGATCCTGTTTGATATTCTTCTGTCTGAACCAACCCACATCTAGTGAGTAACTATATGTATGAGGCATCATCCACCACAGTTTATTTCCTCTCTCTTCAGGCTGCCGGAAAACATTCCATTAAGTATTCCCCGGACTTAACTGTTGCCTGTTGCAGTAGATGACAACAGAAGCAGAAGATGCAAGGTTAGTCAATTCTCAACATTTTGCAGATTGGCAAAGCTAGGAGCAAAGGCAGAGTGACACATAGTATCAAAAAAGAAAGCAACAGGTTTACAGAGTTCAGACCAAAAGTATAGGTGTCACCTCTACCAAGGTCCTTTTGCCATGAACAAGTAAATTCTCTAAGCCCACATAAACAGAGTTTAACACAGCTTTCCCTTTCTAATAGATATTCTAAATATCATTCAAAGGCTTTAAAATACTACTATAAATCCTATTCAAAAAGCAATGTGGAAACATTCAAAACTATTTTAAAAATACATAAGGATGAAAACAAGGAAGATAAATAGAAGCATTTTTACAATATCAATAGCTGGCTAAAAAATGTCTGTTGTGTTTGTTCAAGATAACAAAGTTAGCTTAAACTTCTAATAAAGCAGGATTATTCATGGATGGCCAAAGTTTACTTCTGTGCTGCATAAACCATGCACCGTCTGCTCAAATACCATGGTAGTTTAAGTGTTCAATGATTAACACAGTTACGAAACAATATCTAAAGAAATGTTTTAACATTGCTGTATGCAAAACAACTAATTTATGTAATTTAAGTTTTGGATTGAGATTTTCAAAAGCTTTAAGCATCAGCTTACCTATATGAACCTTCAAGTTGAAGATAAAACATTGATTTCAAGGAAAATACCATCAAAGCTGTGTATTTTTTGAAGTCTTTAGAATGAAGCTGCAGGTTAGTGAGCATCAGAACTTGATTTAAACAACAATATGACCTACAACAATCCAGTATTCTTTTGTTCCCAAATGTATTAGCAATCAATTATACTTTAGAACACTCACTTTCTACTTAACTCCACAGATCATTTCAGAAGTAGAAAAATCTCAGTTAATTCTTAGAACAACAATCCTTTAAAGAATTATTTTGCAGATAAAGTTTGCCAAGGCACAGGTGTCTTACATCTAAAATCAATGCCCACAGGACACCATATTTCAACAAAATGTAGGGTTCTGGGCATAAGCCTCTTTTGGGTGTGATGGTAGGGGTAGATGACTCCCCACCAGATATGGCTATAGAGGACGTTATGTATCCCAATTACTTGTCACTACTCATCAGCCAGAGATTACTTTCTCCACAGTTCTGCTGCCAGGAGGGACTGTATGAACATCTCCTAATCTGCTCTGAGGTCCCATCCAGGCACAGCAATAACCAACTGGATACAGTAACAACCACAGCACAACAAATTAAGTATCCTCAGCCTTCCTCTACAGACTCGAACATCAGACAACAGCTAGCAAAACAGATTATTTTGAAAAAGTGCTTCTTTTCAGCATATTGCAGTAATATGTATCTATATATATATAATTTATGCTTAAATATGTTACAAATGTGGATCCACTAGCCAATAATCTTGACTGGTTACCTAAGTGAGGAAGAGACAATCTAACAATTTCATAAGCTGGACTGGTTAAACCCATAAATCTTAGGAGCACAAATTTGTAGTGGAAGAGTAAGTTCCATGTAAAACCCAAAGGGTTACACAGCAATGCTGGTTGCTGCTAAAAGGACATTACTAAGGCCAAGAAGAATTAACATGGGCTGTGCAGAATTCCCCTATTGATACATGTACTCTTCCTTACTGTTTTTCCATCTCTATGATCAAGCGCAGAGGAAAACAGCTAGAAAGCCATGACTGTGAACGAAGAAGTGAGGTCTATTAAAATTTTTGGAATATGAATACCTAGCTAAAAGAAACAGCAAACACTTCCTTCCTCAGGCATGTGGGAGGAGAAGAGTCTACACTAAGACAGCAGGTAAACTGAAAAGACCTATGTAAACAGCATATCTGCTGCTATTAGTCAATAGTAGATTCTGCTTTAAACCTCCCAACATAATCAAAAGAAATAATAAATAATTTAAATAAATTCTTTTAGTATGCAGGTCCTAACAGAGACATAATATTGTGTTTTTGTTTCAGCCTCTCTTTCCTTTTCTGAACTAGTTTCTCAACATCTGCTCTCAGCCTCTTCAACACACATACCCACTCACATGCTAATTTTGCCTCCCTCTTCTTCACTGCCTTTTGAATGTAACAATAATATTGACTGGTTTTGTGACTTTTTTCTTTTTTTGGGCAAAGACCAGGTTTCAAGAAAGCCTGCCAGTGTCCTGCCCATACTAATATCCTCCAGAATCCTGCACCCCCAAATTCCCAAACAACATCTGCCCTCCCCTTCCCACTCTCCTCAGCCCATGTTTTTCCTCCAAATGGCTCTGCTCTCAGGTGGTGCCAGGAAATCCCCCTTAATTCTAGTCTCAGTCCTTCCATTTTTATCTGGCTCCACTTGGATTATTCCTGCACTCCTCCTAACAGAATCACGGTTTCCTACAGGAAACAAACTCCTCACAGCAAAGCTCCACGGTGCCTTTGCTCAATGGAAGATGAAACTCATGCCTATCCACAGTACAAGCTCAGCTTGTCTCACAGTTGCTGTGACAACCTCCATTTAATATCCCAGCCTAGCAGCTGAGAAAATAGGATTATATTCTAGATGGTGATAATTGTTTTGGCAAGTGAGAGAAGGTGATAAAATAGGCAGCAGTAAGACAGAATATTCCTAAGGCTTCTAGTGTTCCCTCTTCCCCCTTGCTCCCCAGCTTGAAAGCTGGATATACAGCATCCTCCGTTGTTTATTACTTGTAAGATAGTATGCTGCTTTACAAAATTATTTCGTTTGAATAGTCAAAGCACGTTCCCTTGCAATAACTAAAAAAGCAACAACAGAACATGCTGAAGTATATAGAGAAAATATTTTCTACTACCTGAGGAGGATGAGGATGCCAAGGAAGCTGAAGAGGAAGATTCAAGAGAACTGCTGAAGAGTGGATCCCATGCCAGGAGGTCACTGCTGTTCCCCTTTCTATATTAAGAGTTACAATTGGAATATAAATGAAAGATGTATATACTCATAAAAATCAAACTACAGCTTCAGTAGTAGTTTGATAATATAACAAATATAATAATATGATAAAGAAATTTGATAAATTCTTCTTTATTAGTTAGCCTTTGGATCTACAAAGAAAAAGTACCTACAAACTGCAGGCCAAGGAACTGATTTACACATACGGAGACTATCTGAATTGACACCTTGGTGCAAGTTTGTGCGTGGACATACTTCATAATGTCAGTTAAGTGACGGTCATTATCAAGGAAACACGCATCTTCAAATCCTTTTATTTCAGTATATACAAACATAAGCAATGTATACAGACCTCTCCAAATTTGGGGCTTGTAATCTTAAACTTTACCATGGAACACTATAGGATGGAAACTAAACCTGTCTTATTTAAAACCTACAAAACATTTTATATTCATGTAATTATAAATATCGAGACAGATCACAATGAAGAAAATGCATTAGAAGGGGAAAACAAATGAATAGAAATCTCCATTGTTACATAATTATTCCCTAACTCTTATGATGGAATAGATGCCTGACTTAAAATAGCAGTCAGCTGGTATTTCCAATGAGTTTCTGAGTATTCAATCAAAATAGGACCAAATTCCCTCAAAACCGCGTTTGACAGAACTTTAAATTTGAACTTACTCATTTGTTGGAGCAGAAAGCTTTGATTTTGTTAACTCCTCACCTAAGCAAAAAACCACACTATTATCACCAACTCTGTGACAAAATTTCAGCTTCATTATAAAAAGGCATTAAATATTAACAATTACAGTTCGAAACTGATTATGAATTATTAAAATGGAAAAAGAAAATGCATTATTTCTGACAATACAAATTCAGATATTCCTGAAACACCTTCTAATAAGAGAGGACTACAGAGAGCAATGCATTTTGGAATTGGTGGAAGGAAGTGGTGTTCATTTGATATTTCTTCCTTATAAATTATAATTGTTTATATCAATATTATTCTTCAGCAAATCTGGCTTGGTTTCCCACTGAATAAACCCTACAGGATAGAGACTAATGTTCTGTCCTCTGTCTCCATGGTCAGGTTTTATGTGTTTGACTACAAAACAGACAGTGTACGCTTTGCTGGTTTGTGGATCATACTAAACTTGAGCAGGTGGAAGGGTTTTAAGAACTTGCACTGGAATCTTTTCCATGGTCCCCCCTTTGGCTCTTGGATATGTTTTTCATCACTGTCACAGACAGCCTCACCTGTTTCCCAGAACAGGGAACAGCCAAGTATATAGAAAAAGAAGAGGTTATCTAGAACTGACATGAGAAATATTTTTTTCTAGTTAAAATACATTAAGAAGTTTATTTCTTCAACAATTAAAAAAAAAATCTATTTTCATGCTATGTTAAAAAACTACCACAAATAGGCCAAAAGTTAAAGATTCACACTTACTCGATGAATTTCGATTCATTTGTGCCTGAACAGGAAAAAAGTAATTAAGAATAAATTATTTTACCAACTGTCCAATATAACACTTAATAGTCCCAGGGTTCTTATCTCCACTCAACTTTGTATGAGATACTTTGCTTTCAATGCCAGGCAAAACATTCTGAGCTTGCAGAAGACCAGAACATGAGCCAGGACACAGCAACCAGTGCATACCCGCCACACCAGTAAGAAAAGTCAGGAACAAACACTGTAGAGCTGACAAAGGGAGCAGTTATTACTAAATTCTTTCACAGGCTGGGGCAGTAAAATTAAACAGCTTATATATCACATGGTATATATGAAAAGAAACATTCCTAAGGTTTTCCCAATAACTCCCCTCACATACTACACTTACTTACACATCTAAAAAAATGTGAATAAAAAACCATTCTGTACTTACAGGACTGTGTCTCTGCTTTCAAAATGTGGGGAAAAAAGAGAACAATCGATTATTATTTTAATATGTTATGCACAATACTTTCCTTAAAATCAGGGTCGATCTTATTCTGATTTGAATATTGTACTAGCACACTTTAATACTATTTCTTTGTAATATCATCTCATGGTATAAGGATCATTCTGTGGACTGGCAGAATACATCAATAAAGTTGCCCTGTAAATGTTACATGTGTCCACATTTTATGATCTGTTTTAAAGGTTTGTACATTATCGAATATTAATTAGTAAATTATGTTAAAAGCCATGCTCAGCTAACTCCATAATGTATTCAAATGTCTTGTGGTAGCAACTGCAAAAATACAAGGACTGAGCACTTCCAAGACTCAAAGGAAAGTTAAAATCTGAGAAGGGAGTATTACTTAATGTTACACTGCAACAAAGCACACAAAAGACCTAGTGCACAAGAAAAAAGAATTATTGACTTTGAACCTAGAAAAAATTCTGAACAGTAAATGATATGTTTACACTAAAGATTCTTTATCACTTTTCTCTTCCATGCATTAAAAATACAAGGAACAAAGTAACTTACAGATATTGCTGGAGAAAGAGTGATGTTCCCTATAGATACTTTTAATTCATCCAAGGAAGGCATAGTATATTGAGAGCTATTATTTGGCTGGACAGGTTTTATTTCTACATGGAACCTCCTAGGTTCATCATCTTCAGAGTCAGAATCACTGGATGAATAGAAATGGTTCTCTTTGGTATGTTTTTCTCAGTTAAGGTGGAAATACTTCAAAATAATCTGCTTAATCCATTTCATAATTATGCTCTACAAAATGCTCATATTTCACGAACACCACAGGTAAAGAATGCTGCCTAACCTCTTTGTGTGCTCATACAGACACTTCAAATACTGCCACTGTCCAAAATTCACAACTCAGACTTAAAATTTACTTTTTATATTCCATTCATCTTGATACACAGAATTCTTGTTCTGAAATGTGACGGAAAGCCCTACCCTTTTCAATCAGCACCGAAATGCCCATGGTACCTGTACCAAGCATTAACAGTAGCGGAAGCAGCAGCAGCCACCATTACTTGCCCCTTTTGCAGAATGGCACTAAAAATTTTGCAACTAAAGATGCCAGTTACACAGAAGGCAGCACAGTAAACTGAATAACATCAGCTGCTTAAAGCATCATCATCCAAAAAAAGGAATCACAACAACTCAGCCCTCAAAATAAGCAAAATATAAAGATGAATTTAGCCTTGGTTCTTTATATGCACAGGAGCTGCACTGAACGGAAGCTCTGAAAGGCCTATGCTAAGTCTTGAAAAATGTATTTATTTTGACAAGGAAGAATGTGAAATTTTTCCTCTACTTAAACATGTTTAAAGTTTTGTACCACCTACAGAGAGCATACATATTCTATACCTTGCTTCTCTTATTGGAAACATGCCAGCCATCTGAATTAAATCTCTTCAAACAATTCCCTGACAAAGATGAAAACCTGAACCTTAAAGACATTCCAAATTCATTTCAACTGAAAAGATCTCTTGAGTTGTGGTAAGGAAAAAGTCAACTGTCTTCATCTTACAGCCTATCTGTCCCCCAAAATGGATCATATCTAGAGAAGAACATTTCAAAGATAAGCCATTTTTCATTTCATCAAAAGATCTCATCTTGAAAATTATCACCGAGTTTCAAGATTAATTTCCTATGAGTCAGGCAGCTCTTGGAAAGTGCTTTTCCAACACTTAAAACTGGACTTATTAAGACTGATTGTCATTATGGTAAAATAATGTCCTCCAACAAATCATGGCAAGAGTTCCCATCAACAGAATAAATATCCATTCTTGGGAGGCTAAGGGAGGAAAAAAGGAAGGGAACTGATGACTTCCTGAATCTGGTCATGATTTTCAGAAGCTGAAGTACTACCTGGCTGACAGGGACTCAAAATCACTGAGTTTTTTCACTGATTGTACAGCCTTTTCTATTGTTTCACAACAAAAAGGATAATGTAGAAAAGGACGCCCAGATGAATAATTTAAAAAGCATTAATGTTGTTCTCTTCTCTCTCCCTTTCATAAGTGTATGCAAAGCATGAAATAATGCCCCTCTCAGAACTGGATAAAAGTCTTCCACTTTTTTATCAATTTTGTAAATAGGAGATAACACGCAGTGCTTTTATTGGTACAGGAATCTTCACCGGGGCAACAGAGGCATATTCTGCAAAGCTGATGAAAAAGATGATGAAGCTGTGATGATGGACTGGCCCACTTTAAGGTGCTCTAACTGCTTAAAAGTTTTCACAATTTAAGGTAATTGCAAAGTGTAAGTTTACCTTTTATCTGCAGTACCCAGAGAATTCAGTGAATACATTTCCAGACATGAGCTATCTTGCTAAGGTGTAGGCTTGCTTAGATCTACAGCAATTGCTCACAGCTCCTAAGTAGAGCTTGCCTCTGTTTCTGATGGAAGGAAAAAAAGAGGACAAGAATTTTTCCTTCAAAGGAAGTGAGAAAAATCATGAGTCTCCATAAAAAAACGACTCGTATCAAACATCTATTCTGCCTATGAAAGCTGTTATTAAAAATACAATAAAAGCTAGAAGCACCAATTAGAAATGGCATGTGGTGTCATGACTTCATTAAGTAATATAAATTCTATTTCTAGTTTGCTGGAGCTCCCGGTCTTTTTCATGATGTCATAAATAGGTGTGAGGGCACAGGTATATAACAGATAATTACTACGTATGCTTAGAAAAGTTTATGAACTTACAAACTCTCTGAGAGTTTTTCCAGGAGAAAGATCTGCATGGTCACCTTAAAGCTTTTGTGCAGGCTTTTTTTGTTTTCATTTTTACTGACAGACAAAAAAATCCTCTTAAAGTTCCCAATACATCTGATCTAATCTTTAACATTTGCACACCAAATCTAAGATAGACAAAATTTTGTACATTTTGTGAAAGCAATGAACAAAAGAACACAAAGTCGCAACACAAGCATGAATGTCATTCATCTTCCTTTAACACTTTAATCCGTGCTTCCTCTCTCCACAGAATTGTAATAACGTCAGATAACTTGGCACAATAACAGCGAAAAGGATATCCTGTGTTGCTTCTGGTTTAATGCTGTATCCTTCATCATCTACATCAGGAATGTTCTAAAAACAACAACAACACAAATTATATTAACAAATAACTAAACCCCCAAGTTGTTCTTACATCAGAGTGAATTTTGTATTGCTGACAAATTGAAATTTTATTACGACAGCTCATGAAAGTCATTGTTATTCACCACTAATTATTACAGTTATCTCAAGTTATCATCTATAGTTCAGAAGTAGCATGACAAGATACTTCAGGAACAGAATACAACAAAACAACCTCAAAATTTCCTGAGAAAACTGGCAACTTTGAATGCAGAAAAGAACAGAAGCATTTTAGCTCTACTACTGAGCGTTATATAAGCCTACTATTCTCTTGGCCCCAAATATTTTCCCAATTTCCACTTCTAATTCTCTCAGCTAAGTCACTAGAGGCTCTGATGGTACAGGAGCAAAACCTTTCCTAAATACTAGTCAATACTTTAATATGTGAGTTAAAGCATTCCAGGTTAGACTGGTTGCAACTTCCTCTACCCGCTTAAAAAGGCAGCAAGCCTGCACTGTTGCTTTAGCGAAGAATATCCACATAATTAAAAGCCATGGATGAAACTTAAATACAAGTGCTCATAATAGGGCTCCAAATTTTCCCTTATGCATCTCCAGCACCCCAGATTTTTACAGCTAATAAGCTCCTGGAAACTTTAGACTGGTTCTGGTTTTCAGTTCTTGCAGGCAATGAAATATAAATTGAAGAGAATTATGTTAGAATAATTTAGAATGCTTAGCTAAGCACTTTAATTAAAAAAAAGCTTTGGAGCAGAAAGAAACAAGTCTCTACTATAATAATTTAAATTTTTTAAATGTGCAAAACTCCACACTCATGTGTATTACATATAAAGAGATAAACTTGGATACACAGATACTTTCTCCACTGAGAAGAGAAAACGCTCCTCACGACTTGGTACACATAGCTAGACTCTGAGCTGCTCAGATGCCTCACTAAGTTTATTACAAAAAACCACAATCCAACTGCCTTCAAAATGTAGTGATTTTACCAGTTACAAATTTCTTATAAAAATGATGAGATTCATATAAAAAAGTTATTTTAGTGTACCAATCAGTTTATTCCACCAGAAAGTAGAGTTATATATAGTATGGCCAAAATATACCTTGCTGTTTTAAGTCATGAGATATAACAAAATGACTTCACTGGAGACTTCAAGTGGACTAGCAAAGAACCACTTGACTTCACCTAAAATTTGAAGCCAAATTTAAAGAGATATTCACTTTGAATAACTTTTGAATTACAGAGTAAGACAAACATAAAAATGTACTTGTCCCTCTATTCCTTTTACACATATCACAAGTGGGATGTCTGATATTTTACTAAGAAAGATTCTCCTCTGTACAGCTCTCTCAACCTAGCACTTCTGAATTAAATGGAATGAATTTAAACATCAATCAAACTTTCTGAAAAAAAATACAAATACAATCCTATATAGGAGATTTAATACTGTATCCAATTAAAGAGAGCATCAATCTAAGGTCAATAATAATCTTTAAGCTCAAACCTTAAAATACAGAACATATAGGTGCAATTTCTTGAAATACTTGCAAAAGCTGGACTTCATCAAGATTTGATTTAAAAAAAAAAAGAACTAAAAAAAAGTAATAAAAGTAGGATCACACGGTCCAGTACCTTAGCTCTACTTGCTCAAATCAGGGTTCTTAGCTACGCTTGACCTCAGGCTGACCTTGTTTATATACCAAAAAGCACTAATGAAACTTGACATCAAAGTAAACAGAACAAAAACATATAGCCAGAGGGTAGGTACCCTTTCCTCAATACTACAACTTCTGAGTACTGAAATTATTTGTCATACTAGGTAATTTTCAATATATCAGGATCATTCATGGTTAAGATGAATTGAAAACCAACAAAAATCTTTACATATACAACATTTAGTTTTTCTTCCAGCTGGGCCATATATGTAAAGGATATTATTACCAGGCACACATAGCATGCACAATAGAGCTGGCAAATTTGACCGTTTCAATATAAAATTGCGAAAGAGCTTAGTTTATGTAAGTTACTTTCATTGCATTATTTTTAATTTACTGAATAACCTCTAGGATAAAGTAAATCCCTAGAAAGCACTAAAATCTTTGAAGTTCTCAAAGTATTAAATTTCTTTCTTAGTATTTTCATGTTAATTATATCTGATCTTGCAAAGATATTTGAATAATCTGTTCCTCAGCAATGGCACTTTACCATGTAGCCTCTATTCGTAACTTCAGACAAAAAGTCAGTTAATACGTACATAACAGAGATGGATGCTTTACAGCTTAAGTTCTGTACACAGGAACTGAAAACATCCTTGCTCCTTTTTCAGCAGACCTACATTACCGCTTTTTTCTAACACTGTTCACAAAAATAAATTTATAACTTTTTCCCTATTTCTAAAATTTAAATATATGTAATTAAAAACATCAGGCTCTACACAGTGTATACAGAGTGAGAAATCATCCGCTTTCTACTTTCAGCTTTGTTAATGATTCAGACTGATCTTGTAACAATTTATGATCATTCTTAAAACACCTTTTGCTTTCATTAATGAGATACTGAATTTATATTTTTGTGTAAACCAACAGAAGAAAAGGGTGGAAGTGATACTCAATGTACCTTTGTATTGACAACGACAATTGTGTCACATAAAAGTGAAATGGCACCTCAAAAACTTACAAGTAGCAATTTCAAAATACCGTTTTCAATATTTTGAACAGGTGAACAGTTCTGCTTTCTGAAACATCAGCATTTTATTTACTAATCTACATTTTGTAAGACTAGTAGAGGACACACAGATATACATATTCACAAATCTGATGTTAATGAAGACATTTACATATTATTGACTAATTCTTATTCCCATTGCCACACTCCTACAGCTACAGAACTACACGTTATGTTGTGGAAAACAGTGCATCTTAAGTATCAGGCAAGAATACAGACAAGACATGATTTGCCTACCATGATAATCAGAGGAAAACCCCACAACCTTCAAGTACACATGTGTCATTTTTGAACACAAAGAAAGAAGATCTTTGCAAACTTAGGGTTTCTGTAAGTAGTTATTAATACGATGGCGATGAAGGTCTGGTCTAGCTCCCTACCCAAAAACGTTATTTTCAGTCTTTGCAGTAAAATATCCTCAATATGGATGTGAACTGAACTGTGTGGAAGTTAACTGGAAAGGTGGACTTCCTTGGAAGAAGGTTTCACATTCTCAGATGCCCTGTTAAGCAATTAAACATACAGCTACAAAACCCACTAAGTTTTCCCTGTGTTTGCAGATGTGATACAACACATTATTAATTAAGGTATTACATAGCTTTAAACAGGCATTAAAAATTTAGATCTTATAACTCTGTCTTTAGTATGTTCTCTGAACTTTCTGGAGTGAATAATTTTTTAAAGAAATAAAACACAGGGACATAATAAATAACAAAGTAAAACTGCCTATACAAAACCCATGAGGACTAAGCAATCTATCGCCAAAATTTATTTTTTTGAGTTTTGGCGAATACTTTGTCTCAGTTTTCTTGCTCTGTCACAACTGTCAACCAATAGCAATGGAAGTCACACCATTACTGTGTCATTAATTCCTCTGGGCTACATATAAAGGACAAGAGGGAACATGGGGAGCATACTGCAGTCTAGCTACTTCATTTGGCACTGCTTACAGGTTGGTCATTGGTCAAGAAGCAAAGAACCTTCACTACAGTCCAGCCTGATTCCTGTCTCTATTCTCCTGGGATTTCTACAGTGGTTATGACAGCTCCCTATCAAGTTTTCCTCACAGTATGCTTCAAGATACAGCACAGCTGAACAATTCATTGTTTCTTTTTCTGCCAGATGAACTTTCTACCATTTTACTGAATGGGACTGACTTCCTGTAATCCAGATGAGGACCAAAGCAAACTCAAAGCAAGCAGTTGAAGCTCATAGCCAGGAACAAGAGAAAAAAGAGCTTCTCCACTTTTGACATATCAGAGATGTAAATTTGCCTCAGATGTGTCCTCACGTTAAGGCAGAGGTATTGCGTATTATCAGCCTCCTCTCCTTAGTGTGCTTATTAACCCAAAAGATGTGGAAGAGAGTAGTCAGTCAGTTTCTTCCATTGCCACAGATACAGAAAGAAAGAAAAACAGGTATTCAAAGTGCCCCTAAGTGTCTTGTGCCGTGACTGTAAAGCCTCATACCCTGTATCAACGGCAGCTATTTAAAACATGCCAGAACTAAATATTTCAAAATGCAAATAAAGAAAAAATTTGAATTTCACTAAATACAAGGTTGTACTTGTGTTCCACTAATTAAGAGTTTGATGGTTCCAAATTCAATCAGTTCCCAGCAATAAAAATCATGTATAATTCTATACAACCATAATTATGCTATACTCCTATATAAAGAGGTTAATGAAAAGTTTTGGACGCCTCAATATATTTTGTTTGCATTCCAGCTTCCTATGATAAAAAGTTTCAGCATTATGGTCTGTGCATCTGTGTCTCCCTTCTTAATTACTTTTGAACTTACTGGACAATTTCAAATGAATTTGACAGACAGAACAGAGGACTCAAAGATAATTACATTACTACAGTCTTCATGAAAATAGGCAGTCAAGTAGAAGAAGATCCGCAAGTGTCCCAACCAAGGGAAGGGTTGCAATCCAAATTCATATCTTACTGGACACAAGCGGAACCTTGCAAATGCTTCCCCAAAAGAAAGTTTTCTATTAGTGCTCGTATCTTCCTATAGACCATCCCTAGAGACATGCCAAACCCATGGGAAACAAGACAATTAATTCTGCCTTCAGAAAAACTTTCTAGGTAATAAACACATACAGAGTCAGGCTTCAGCTGCCATTTCTTTCTAGTATATAGACGGCTAAAGTTTTACTTTTCTTGATTATCAAGGCTTATCTTAATGGAAGTTACATGTGTACACTGACGTACAACACCACAGAAATCTTAAATTTCATGACATACCGTCATCTGTATTTAAACAGAGACTGCTTATTGAAGTAGTCAACCTTTTTAACAAATAGAAGTTCTCAGTTCACAGCTGTCTCCCCACTCATAAGCACTCAAAAACCTCTTACAGCAGTTACCAAAAATTATTGACAGGAATTAACAATTTATTCAAATGCATCACATTTTCCAATGTATATAATCTGGCAGCTACAAAAACGACAAGCATAAGTGGATGGCTTGCCACAGATAAATTTGAGAACTTCCACTTTAGTTCAAAAGTAAATTTTTAGGACCATCTCACTGTTTTATTTTCCGGAAACAGAAAATACAGGTTTGAACAACTGCATTAGATATTTAGGACTAGTGAGAAGGCCCTCATGGTATTGACTACACACTGTATGTTCAGAGATCCTCAATATCACATAGAACTCATAGATGAAGTATTGAAATCAGTTCTTACTGGATCCTAAACTTCTAAAACTCTTAATTGGATATATTTACCTCAGTGCTTATAGATATAAATAACTGTAGAGTGGTTATCTCTTATGTTCCTTTCACACAATTAAAATTCTTGACAAATAAAGAAAAGTCACTTTAAAAAAAAAAAAAAATCATGTAAAAATATAAAAGCCAGACAGAGATTTTCTGTGACTGACCAAAATCATAATTTGGACACCTTAAGTTAGTTGAATTTTTTAAGGGCTCATCCTCAGTATTTTCAGCAATCAAACACAAATGATAATCGTTTTCAATTTTTTTTTTTTTGCAATTACACTTCTCCAAGTGCAATTTCTTGAAATGTGTAATTTATCGCAAAGATCTATACAAAATAAATCTTCATAGAGATAATAACATAGATGGTTAAAACTACTTAGATCAAGTTTCAAAAATTAAACAGAAAGAAAATCTTAAAGTGAAAAAGAAAGAAAGAAAAAGGAAAAACATTTGAAATGGGATCTTCCAGAAGAGCACACCAACCTTAAAATGTAAAAGCACTCTGGAGTGTTTGTTTGTAAGGGGTGAAATTAATCTGATCTATGGTATGCTGCATCATTTTTCACAAGAATGACAGTAATGGCTTCTATTAAAGCATTCTACCATTCAGAATAATACTGTTGCTTGTAAAAAGCAAGAAAAAATGATAGATCAAATTTTAAATTTCAAATGCAGTCATAAGATGTTGGGCAAAAACACCCCCAGAGAATGCAACACAAGTATCACTTTTGTTGTTAGACACAATAAAAGTTAGGTCTTTTTTTTAACCAAATAAAAATTACATCTAGACAGAACAATTAACTTAGATGATCATATGGCGTGCCTCACGCAGCCAGAAAGAAATCAGACACACCTACTGTCAAAAATTTTTTTATCTAATTATTTTTTAAAAATGTAGAGACCAAAATAAGCGAAGAAGAAAATAAACATTGCAAGTCAAACTGAGTTGTGGTTCACTCCAGTGACTCAACCTGAACTGTCAAAAGGTATTATTTCCATGAAAAGCCTGATAATTATAGGGATAATTCTAAAGTTACTTTACTTTAAATGTACCCAAGAATAGAAATTTGCTCTAAATCAAGATGACTGCACAGGATAAAACAGCTGTCTCTGTGATGCTTGCAAGGCTGCTCTAACACATACAGTTCTATTATGTGGCAAAAATTACTCTTCCTTATTTAGAAGAATGGCTCCACTGGATTTTTTAAACCAAGTTTCTCAAAAGAAGTTTTAATATTACATACTAAACCTCTCAGATATTAAATGCAAAGAAGAAAATCCATGAAATAGGTGAAATTGGAAAATTAAAATATTTAATATAATTGGCATGTAAATAAACTGAAAAACAGATCAGTCTAAAGAAAAGAACTTAAATTATTCTCTAAATTATTCCCTACTATAGCTATAGGGAGCTGCAATCTCTGCTACATATAATTCAAGGCAACATACATATTTAAATAAAAAGAAAAGGCTCAATTAAGGAAACAAAAAAGCATTAATTTACCAATTTAATTTGCAACTGTCACTTATTTGAATTTAATAAATAAAACTGTACAATGTATTACAGACCAAACTAACAGCAACGAAAACCAGGCCTTTAATAAAGTGCATCTAGGGATACTGCATTTAAAGACCTATTTTAAGAGCCTACACTCTATTCCCAGTGATAAAGCAGAACGCCATTGATATTAGAAGGATTTCTCAAAGGATACAGAAGTAAGCAGAGGAATATGATGATGCAGTTTGTTCCACAATAAAAATGGACTCTTTTTCTTACTTAGAATCTATTATACACGCAATTTAAACTATTAACTTGAAAAATAAAGTAGCAAATACTTGCAGTAAAACCACCTTGTTTAAAACCTAAAATTGTTATGAAATACAAATGTATTACTGACACATATTTGCACATAAGATTATGTACTGAGCAAAATTAACACTTTAAGTATGTTATCAAAATACTAAATCCTCTATCAAATAAATAATGCATTGCACAGACCATATATAAGTTAAACTTTTATCAGATTGTAGTGCTTGACAATATTAGCATATGCATTTGTTTTGGAAATAAGGCTACTTACAACTGAGTCTGCATCTGGACACTCCCTATTAAAAAAAATAAAGAAAATACACAATTATAAAATGCACAAATTATTTTATTCATACAATTCTGGTACATCCTGTAATATTTTCAATTAATTTGAACAACTGGATTTGAGCCTTCTGCCTCTCAGACTCTGTTAAAATTTTCACTATAAATAATCCACATTCAACTGAATGAGGTTTAAATAAAAGCTGAAAGTTTATGCTCAAACACCACAGCAGAAAAACTCAAAACAAACGCTCAAAAAGCAAACTCACATCACAGTGGAGAAAAATAATAATTAAAAAAAAAAAAATCAAGGGAGAGCCAGGAGTACCACGCTGTATTCTGGATGAATATTCCTTAGAGTAGTTCTCTGTGATTAATATACACAATAAGTAAGTAGAGTAGAAGTCACCAATCCTAAAGAAACTGTGCACATGCAACTGCAAAACATTTTGGACAATAATCAGTTCCCAAAGAAATTAAAACTATTCTTAGAGGAACTCAGAGTGACCCTCTTTTGGAATTTCGTTCTTAGTTCATGTTCCTCAGGCACAGTTGCAGTCAAGCACTAGAAGATGCTGGAAAAAATGAGTACCCTCCTAATAAGCACTTTTAAAAAAAAGTCATCAGCAGAAAGGCAGCGATTGCAAGCACACTATTCACAAGTGTAATATTTTTCCACTATAACTTGAATTTAAGCAGTAGTATTTAAAAAAAAAACAAACCACACTGATCCTCTCTGATGTCTGCAAAAACAGGAAGCAATTACACTTACAGAATGTGGGAATACTTGAGTAGCATACAAGTCCTCTCTAATTTGCATCCTGACAAACAAAGCCGTAAGTGCCAGTGTAACTGCACAACAGTGTTTTTGTATAATCAAACTGAATATCCCAAACATGCACTTAGAGAAAAAAAAAGGGAAAAAAATCAAATTTATTGCATTCTAAAAAAAGTCTTCTCTGAAAGGCTAAATGAGTTAAATGTAAAAACTACAGCGTTTTTAAAAAATAGGTTATGAAAACTTGCTAACAAGAAATTCAGTACAGCCTGTTCAGGAATTGACAGTGAGATGAAGGATCCCATCTCCTCCGAAAGGCCTTAAACAAAAGAAAACATATATGACCAAGTTTCTAACTGACTTACATCTTACCTCCCTCTGCTGGCTAAACTGAATTCACAGCAACAAAAAGAGCTATTTTAAAAGCTACTTTGCAGCTTGAAGAGATAAAGTATTAGACTTCCCTCAAAAGATGTAACAAACAGATTTTCAGCAAATGGGGATTCTGTAAGGGAATTTAAGGATTGTAGATAAAACTACAACAACTAAATCATGCAAAGCAGTGGTTAGAAAAAGAAGTTAAATCTTCGACTAACCTGTATAGCAACATGTAATAGAATACGCCATGTATGGTATTTCTCTGTGTAAAACTATTACTACACACAACAACTAGTTTAGGTGTCAACACTTTGAAAACTGTATTGATAAACTGAAAAGCCTATAAACCATGAGAGTTTTTCTAGATGTGGAAAGCCTGCCCTACACAAACTAACAAGCTTACAGACTAATTTAACAAAAGATTAAGAAAGGACTTGACCTTTATGTGCACAGAAGTTTCTGATGATAGTTTTATCATGTACAGCCTATAACAGGATTATCAGCCGAAGATGAAATCAACTGAAGTTTAGACTAGCCATAAAAATCTTTTAAACAGATCATAAATAACTATTAGAACATTTTACTTAAGCAAATAATGAATCCTCTGTTATTTATTTGTTATGTTCCAGTTAATTTAGAACTTACAGATTAATGCAAGAATCTCTGTAAAAGCGCAGGGTAGGAGACAGAAAGTCAATATCATGCCATCACACCTCTTTCTTTCTGACCTCACAATCTATTCATTTTTGTATTTTGTATAAATATAGAAACAAATATAATAATGTAAATCAAATTTCAATCCAACTTGTTGAAAGCAAGGCAAATTCTTTTCCCATTTCAGAGCAGCTGAGCTGATTTGTATTTTTCTGGTGACACCATGTGCCATGAAAACCAAAATATTTTCTAGAAAAAAACCACGGATATTATGTTTCAATGTTAAATAGAATGCCTTTGGGAAAAAGCAGCTTTTAGAAAAGTATTCAGATGCTTCAATTGCTAAGCATGCAAAGGTAGAAAGTGTTTCACATAGTGTAGAAGGCAGTTTTCAGCCTTCAGTGCGTAAGAAAATTTTCTTTCTGTTACAGGTCAAAGAAAAACATGATCTCTGAGTAAGGATACATTGAGTCATACACCTGGGAAGAGTTAATCTGAAGCTTCCAGGCCTTTACTGGCTCCAGAAAACTATGTTTAAGGGCCCTAAATCTTTGATGGGGCCAAATGATATTTCATCATCTGCCAAAGAATGGATGGAAGGAGGTGATTGGTTTGCAAGAAGGCTTCTAACATACACGACATGAAATTAGCTTGAGTAATAACCCACCTGGTGGCAAAATAATTATTTTGTTGAACAAGGAAAGCTGACAGCTACAGAACTCAATCATACAACAGTACTCGATACTATCACAATTACTATTTTGCAATTAAGGAAATGCAAGACACAAAAGACAAATGATCAAATATACTTTTTTGCTGCTATTTTGATACTGCAACAGTTTTGCATCACAAAACACAAGTGTAACAAATAACTTTCCAGGGAGAATGGTTTACTTTCTAAAAGGGCATGAAGGCTGTTTAAAACATTAATATAATAAGTTATTTATAACATTTTAATGATTAAATTAATAATTTTAATTAAATTAATAAATTAATGTGCTCACTTCGGCAGCACTTACACTAAAAGTGGAACAACACAGAGAAGATTAGCATGACTCCTGTGCAAGGATGACATACAAATTCATGAAGCATTCCTTTTTTTTTTTTTTTTTGGAACAGGCTGCCCATGGAAAGTCTTGGAGTCATCATCCCTGGAGGTGTTCAAAAAACGTGTAGATGTGGCACTTTGGGACATGGTTTAGTGGGCATGGCGGCATTAGGTCAATGGTTGGACTTGATCTCAGACATCTCTTCCAACCTCATGATTCTATGATCCTAATTAAACTAAACCTTCATTAGAAAAAAATGAATTCTTTTTAACAAAATAGTATTCTCAGATTATTGCTGACCAAAACCACACTACATACAACAGTTCTCTCACAATTTACTCCAGCTACAGAACAGAGGGTAGGGGAAAAACTAAATCACAGGAAGGACTTAAAAACCAACACCTTGGAGCCCTAAAGGCATCATGACAGAGAGAAGAAAAAGCGTAGAACTCTATTGTTATTAAAATGAAACACCGAAAGAAAAAAGCTAAGGCACTTTGTATGTGCAAATAATTAGCACCTGCAGGTCCTACATCATTAATTTTTCAGCATTATATTAAAAACTAAGACTGGTAAAATACTTTTTAAATGTATGCAGATGTTGCCTCTGAGAATATTTCTATATTGCTAAGTTTGTCCAATTGTAAGCTATTTTCTGTTAAATCAAATACTTCTATACTTCAAATACATCTAGAAATTACGAAAAACATCCACTGGAATATAGTCACCGTAACTACTAATTCATACACTGCAACCAACCCATCTAAGAACTTTTATTCAAACTCACTTTCTGGAGAGTTTTAACTCCTGGGAGACAGAGCACATGCAATGACTATGGCAAAGGGTATATCTGGGACACCAGCCATGAGTTAGAATGATTGTCTCTCAGAAACTGGTGTGCACACAATGTACTGAAAAAGCATTCAAAGATATTTCCGTGTCCTTCAATATTGTATACAACAGTTTTGCTAATAAAAGAACAACTGAAGCTTCAATTCTGCAAACACGGGCATCCAGTACTTCTTCCATGCACAGAGTTATTACTTCATTACGAGTAGACATAAGAATCAGGTTGTCTACAATGTTCTCAAATCCAGAACAAGGAAGATCTACTTACCCATGCACAGGAAAAAACAAAACATGAGTAGACCACCACAAACACATTTGTAATTTCCTTAAAATCCTTAGTTACAAAAACCTTAAATAGCTGTGATGTTTTCATATTTATAGCATTCCTCCAAACTTGTTAAAACCCCATTTTTTTGTTAAACATCAGCTAACATTTATCTCCATACTTTTACTAGTCTTCATACAAGTCAAGGCTTCAACATGGAAATATACTTACACAGACTCAGTATCTTTTTCTTTTTTCATTATTCCTGATAAACCAAAAGGCTTCCTCTTCCGTGGTTTTATCCCTATGGAACAAACACTTTTCATTTAAAGATCAAAGAGATAAGTACGTATTTAGCAATGTCAAACATGGGTGCATACAAATGCCAATATATTTTAAATGCTGCCACAAGTGATACAAAAATCTAACAGTGGAGATGGGTATGGAGCCAAACTAAGAAAACATTATTCCATTTTGTTAAGTAACATATCAACAAAAAAAATAAATTAAGATATGGTTGAACACATTAATAACCTAAGTCCTTACAAAACTGATTTGCATTGTACATCCGACTCTCCAAGCTGGGTATGCAGACTGTAGATTTTTTTTTTTTGTAGAAAATGGGTGTACTGCCCATTTTGAGGAAACGGACTCTGCTCACAGAAACTCAACAGGAGCTATTGCTCCAGCCGTTCCTGAATAGCCAATGCACCTGGATCAGAAACGGAATCCTGCCTCTCCTAGCTACAGCAGTTCAACACCTTGTTGTTATTTCCCTGCACGTTCCCAGTAGCTGCAAGCCCCCGTCTCTCCTAAGTGGGACCTTGGTCCTGTAAAAAAAAGGGAATGTCTCTTGGCTTTCCAGCTGATGTTGAGTTCATGATTTCCCAGTACTGTAGCCAGTTCTAGCACTGGCTCTCACTGAGTCTGGAACCATGCCTCCTCTCTGTCATTTCTTCCCCATTTTTAGCACTGGATTCATATAGCTATAGTACAGAAAAAACGTTTGTTTTCATACCCGTTTAATGTAGTAAAATTAAAATACATTTAAACATTCCATCAGACTTGCTATCACGTCTGCTTCTCTCCCAGTTTTTGCTGAAGCAAAGTAGACTGCCAAAAAAATAAGTACAAGCATCTGATGCAACTAGTCTACAATTTTGTTTTGATGTATGATACTACTGACAGCATGCTTTTGAGCAAAATTGTGGAAATAATCCGATTTCCAAAATTTAACAACTGACAATTCAAACACTTCATTAAAAAAAATATTCCCCTTTACAGAAACGTATTACACAGCACATAAGGAATCTCTCCACTCTTACTCAGCCACATCTTATATTTTAACAGTGACAGAATTTGCTCCAAAATATTTTTTAAATGCTAGTCTGGGCTTTATTTTCTTTCTGCACCTTATGCAGGCCAAAACAATGACAAATGGAGTATGAGTAGTTTATGAACATGGATCCTCTTTGCTTCAGTCAAAAAAGATTTTAAGTCTCAGCTGCAATCTTGGCAACTTAAAAGTTGACAGTACAGCTGTAGCTATACTGTCAACTCTCCGTCCCAAAAGTAAATACACAGCTTATGCATATAAAGCAGTTCTTAACCACTTAAAACAATCCCCTAAGCAAAATAAGCTACGCCAACAAAGAAAGGCTTTGCGACCATAACACTGCATTAGACTTGGTATAACTAACATGGCAACAATGGAAAGAGCCTGGGCCATGTTTTGACACTTGTAAATTAAGTTACAACACAGTCATAAGTGATCCAAATCCAAACCTCTGCAAAGACAGGGTCTTAGCCAAAGTATATTTGTAAGAAGCATTAAAATGCTCTGACCTTTGTGTACTAGGCATATAAAGTATCATAGGTCTTACTTCTGTTTAATTTTGTTTCTCATAAAGAAAACTGCTTTTTAGTCTACTGGAGTACTTTGAAGTTATACAGATTCACACACTGAATGCCCTTCACTCCACAGTTTCAGGTCCTTATGCACAGCATTCTTACATAAATAACTATGCCACAACTCACCTTCAACTGCACTGGATGTGTTACATTCTTCAAATTCAATAGGGCCTTCAAGAAATTACAATGAAGATAAACATTAGGTTAAACCTAATCTAAGATATTATAATGACTATTAATATTTCCTGAAATACTAGATAATCTGATTATAAATTTAGGTGGTAACTGAAAAGCACCATTTCCCTGGCAATGGTCAAACAGATTGGAAAATCACAGATGTACAGAAAATCATTAAATATTTTCACTCTTTCATACTGAAAAATTAAAATACTAGTGCTCACTGTCTAAATACAATTCAATTGCCTATGTGACTACAACCACATGCAACATCTCTAATTGGTGTCCTCTCCTTATTCAAAATTGCATCTATAATACAGTACCAGTGTAAAGTTTTCCATTTATCTTCTTTTACTGAACAAGAGCTATATAAAGAAAAATCAAAAAGGAAAAAAGCACAGCTATAGCCCTAATTTTGAGATTCACATTTCTGTTAACTCTGTGTTGTTAGTTCTTCTGTTTCTTCTTCACAGCCAATTACCAAGACAGTTAAAGTGGCATACAGAATCTTAAACATAGCAATAAAGAAGATACAAAACTTCAAACAAAAATCATTAAGACTAAACTGGACAAAAAAAGCAGAGAACACTAGTTAAGTGCTATATCTAAACAAAATCATTATTATGGCTTTCCGTTACAGTTGACACAAGGTAACAGCCAACTGCCATTGCAAAGCAAAGTCCCAGCCCTCATTCCTTCCATTTGGCCAGGTCTAGAATTTATTTAATCCCACTATGAGCCATTTTAGGGAGCAAACATGCAGAAAAAACCAGTGATTTTTCATAAGATCTTGTTCATGGGATGGCAGTATCACACCAGCACTTGTGCAAGTGCAAGGAAACCATGCAGGCAGACACCAGTACTTTCAGCCCATACTACGAACTAGCCGTTTGGCCCGTGTTTGAAACAGTTGCTTGGAACTGTATCCACAGGCAAAAAACCCACAGGTTTTAGCATGCTAGCGCTGTGACACAGGGGTTACTAGTTCTCTTTCTGTAATTCATTTTGAGGGAGTGCACACAAGTTTATAAATAGGCACATTACAGATAAGATAGAAGGGGAAAACAACCCATTCTCAATTCTATACTCGAAGGCAGACAAACGCCTGCCCCTCCCCCCATCTCCCGCACTTAACGCAGCTACTTCAAGTGAGTTTAAAATCTTGAGAATTTCAATTAAAATTAACTGTGGACACCTCAAATACAGAAATTACTTTAACTCCTGCCTCAAAACACACCTGCAGGTAAGTGCTTTGATTTATCTTTATTATGAAGTTATGATTATTCACGAGCATCCACCATAATAACCAAAAGCTGTGCAATTTTCAGGGTGTTTCAAAATAAAATAAAAGGCGTACTTGAAAGTATTTTCCAGGATTTTCACTTGTGCTCTTTTCAAAATTAATGTCGTATCCTTAAAGTAAATAGCTGATATAAACAGACCTGAGATACAAGAAACATGGAGACTACAAGCTTCAATTTGATTTTAAATAGTAAATAGCAAATCACTGTGCTGCAATTAGACATGCCACAATGAACACAAAAAAATAATTTCACTGTGAATTAGCATTGTAAGTTACACAACTGGGATTAATTTGTATTTGATTCATGCAGTTAAGTACCTCAAATCGTTCTATCTGTAATGTAACCCCCAGTATATAACTCTCGCAGTGCAAAATTGTGTTCAACTCAGTATAAACACCAGCATTTCTCGCATGATAGTATTTCTCAAAACTACAAAAGATTTTTGCTTATGTCAAACAAATAGAAAGACAACCGAGAAGCTGACATGTTAAGCAAACAGAATTACTTTAGCCATATTAGATAAAATCCACCTAATATTTTCTATGCAGTTTTGCAGACTTCTAATGATTTCTTTTTTAAAAAAGGTGTGCTCAAAGTAATAACTTTTTAATTGTAATTAAGACTGAGTCTGCAAAATTTTCCCTACCAGTAAAAAAAGATCTGAGTGCTTGTAAAACTAGTAGCAGAATGAGAATCTGGGACTAGAACCCATCAATACCCCATTTATCATAATGTAATTATTTGACCTCCAAATGAAGCTGTTGAGAGCAGAATATCAAAAGACCAATCTCAAATGGCAGTCTTAACTGCCCTTTTAATTTCATTTATTAAATGATTTCAAATGCAAGTCTTATTATTCAATATAACGAGATGAAATACAAATTCCTAACAGCTTTCTCATTCTACTAAATATTGTAAATATACGGGCATTTTAAGCCAGTCTTCTAGTCCCTTCTCCTTTGCTCTTCACTAAAGTCACAGCAAACTAAAGTCAGCGTACTCCACAAATCAGCAAATGTGGGTATCTCACAAAACAAAGAACAGCAAAAAAATCCAGAAAAATACATTTAGAGAACTGTAGATGTCTACATTCCCACACTGATTCAATCAACATTCTATTTTAGGAATTTAAACTTCATTGTTCAAAATACATTCAGCAAGAAATTCAGAAAATATCATAAAACATAGAAGCTGAAGAACAAGTCCATTACTTCTTCAGCACTACACTTCAGACAATACTTTTTTCATCACTTTGCTAAGGATTAAACTACTTCTGTTTCTTGCTTCTATACATATTCCCATTTGGCCAGGAAAAAAAAAAAAAGCAACCAAAAGCCAAACCAACCACAAATGCTCATCCCCAAAACAAAAACAGAAGGAAAAAACTCTAAACAACACAGACTTCAGCATATTTTTAAAGAAAAACAATATTCAAGCTTTTTCAGAATACCATATTTTTCTTTACCCTTTCCAGCTACTATGACTGATCCCCAGACTTTGAAGACTTCTACACTAATGATCAAAATAAACATTCGAGGCTCAAGTAAAACTCACCCTTATTTCACATCAGTATCTTTAACTTCCACTTCTAACATAAGCAGAAAGCAAACATTTCCTTTAATAACACATCCAAGTGGCTGTATTTTGTCCATTACACCTGCCTAACACTGTCTTTGAAGGTAGTTCCTTTTATAGCTTGAAAAACTTTTTATCTGAAGAGACAAACATTCATGCTTGGTACAGAAACACACAGACATGAAGATCAGATCAGCATTTTCAATCAGATTTAACAAAAGCTCGTTTAGCCCCCACAAAACTCACTTCACTCTTGCAACAATGCATTCTTTTCTTATAGGGAAGACTATGCACCATGAAAAAAATTTCAGTTACTGAAGAATTGCCTGAGATAGTAATAAGATGCTATGCAAAAAAATTCAGTAAGCAGGTCCCACTTTCCACTGAGGTCTGTGAAGTTAAGTTGGAAATTTTAAATACACTTTCTTTTCAATGATACCTATTAGCTTATTATATGCTTCACCAAAACAGGAAGAGTTATCACAGTAGTCCCTTCTTCCCACACTTGCTCTCTTTTCCTACCTCTACATCTACTAGGCTGGATCGATGGGCCAAGGCCAGTTGTATGAGGTTCAACAAGGCCAAGTGCCGGGTCCTGCACTTGGGTCACAACAACCCCAGGCAGCGCTACAGGCTTGGGGAGGAGTGGCTGGAGAGCTGTCTGGCTGGAAAGGACCTGGGGGTGCTGGTCGACAGGCGGCTGAACATGAGCCGGCAGTGTGCCCAGGTGGCCAAGAAGGCAAATAGCATCCTGGCCTGTATCAGCAATAGTGTGGCCAGCAGGAGCAGGGAGGTGATCGTGCCCCTGTACTGGGCACTGGTGAGGCCGCACCTCGAATACTGTGTGCAGTTTTGGGCCCCTCACTACAAGAAGGACATTGAGGTGCTGGAGTGTGTCCAGAGAAGGGCAACGAAGCTGGTGAGGGGTCTGGAGAACAGGTCTGACGAGGAGCGGCTGAGGGAACTGGGGTTGTTCAGCCTGGAGAAGAGAAGGCTGAGGGGAGACCTTATCGCTCTCTACAATGGAGGCTGTAGTGAGGTGGGTGTTGGTCTCCTCTCCCAAGTAACTAGTGACAGTTGTGCCAGGGGAGGTTTAGATTGGACATTAGGAAAAATTTATTTTCTGAAAGAGTGGTCAAACATTGGAACAGGGTACCTAGGGAAGTGGTGGAGTCACCATCCCTGGAGGTGTTCAAAAACATGTCGATGTGGCAGTTCGGGACATGGTTTAGTGGGCATGGCAGTATTAGGTCAACGGTTGGACTTGATGATCTCAGAGGTCTATTCCAACCTAATGATTCTATACTAGCTGCTTCACTGCAGGAAAGATAAAACAACAATCACGAAAACAACATTTTCTTACAACAAATCGTATAAATCAATTAAAATTCAAAAGCATCTTTTGACCCTAACTTACTTTTCCTACTCAACTTAAACTTCTATAGGGCTCTTCATCCTTTGGAATCTCAGAAGTTCAAGACACCAGTGGCTGTCCCTAACGAATCCACAAAAATTAAAAAATTAAGCTGAGCATTTTCCTCCAATTCACAAATATGTTTGCTGGTTTTGTAAAATTTGTATGCAGCCTGCACCCACCAATATAACATATGTTACATTATTTCCTTGCAGCAAAGGCAAATTCATACATTTTGCCCTTCCGAGCCAAATAGAGTCCAATTTGTAGCAGTTTTTAATTTTAAGGAGTTTTGTTCTGTAACTTCAGATCTCCCAACAGTTCTGCTTCCTATATGCCTGCTGTAGGGAGTATCATGTTTTGCCTCGGGAGCAGAATTTTTAAACTAAAATAACATTACAGAAATAGACATTTTCTGTGGCGCTCTATAGTGAACCAATATAGAAAACAGGATAGCTGTGATGAGCTTTTGGTAGCCCACATAACAGATGGGGTCTCCTGTGGGCAGATGCCTTTGTGCCTAAAGAGGTAATAATATCGTAGCCCAGCCACAAGTGTGTAGTGTGACCACATTGTCTCCTGCTAGAACCAGCTTCAGTCTCCTAGCCAGCCAAAAGGCCTTAGGCACACATGTTGCTATGGGAGCACAGTATCAATAAGGAATTTGGATACTTAAGAATTTCCCCTGCATTGTCCACTTG